AGTCATATACACCTAGGATGACTTGAGGGCGAGTAATTTATGGACTAATTTTCATTTTTGGGTGAACTAACCCTTTAAGATGTTTTGATTTAAACTATGGTTTCAAAATTTTTTTAAACATATACACGGGTGAACAACATAAGGGGTGAGTGACCCTTTGGTAAAATCTGAACAATCAGATATCATAAACTCAGTGATTGACCACTGATCTGAATATTTGTCCCTCTGAATGTCTGTGCTTATTTTTATTATACGTTTATGGTGCCTTTTTGAAGCCTGGCCACTATATGCTATGGAAGCCCATTTCCGCCACAGACAAAAAAATGATTATATCACAATTCTGACTTTTTTCAGAACTGTGAGATATAAACTCAGAATAGCGAGATTTAAATTCAGAATTCTGAGGAAAAAAAAAATCAGAACTGCAAGATGAGATATAAACTCGTAATTCTGAGAAGAAACGTCCAAATTGAGAGGCGTAAACTTGCTATTGCGAGAGTTTAAATTCGCAATTACTTTTTTTATGTTTTATTCTGTGGCGGCAACAGAATTGCAATATGTGAATTCAGAATTCTGAGAAAAAAGTCAAAATTGCTAGATAAAAACTGAGAATTGTGAGAAAAAAAGTCAGAATTCTGGGTTTATATTTTGCACTTCTGAAAATTTTGCCAGTGTTACTCCACCTTTATTACATGGATGAAAGAAAATGAAGGTAAATAAATTAGGACAGAATTTTCATTTGTGGATGAACTATCTCTTTAAATATTAGTAACAGACTGTCTGCTCACCCAGAGTGGATCTCCATCCAGCGGGCCCATCATGGCCATGAAGAGAGGCTGCTGCAACAATGCAAAAAGTGCGCTAATGAGGGACTGCATTCCCGTCAGACTGCCGAACTGAGAAGACGGGTACCTGCGCCCATAAAAAAACATTGTTCTTTAATCATGTTTAAAAGCAACATCAGCCAACACCCAAAACACAAAGCCATACTCACACAGCTGCATACAAGCCGCCAACAGCAGAGTGGATGAAGCCTCTCACAATGGTGTGCAACACAAAAGACAAAATCTAGGAGGAAAACAAAAAACCAAGGTTACTCAGTTCTTCCTCAAAGCAAAAACAACCCTACTTTTTGTAATGCATAAATAATGACAAGCTAGCTTTTAAACAAAGTCACTGAGGGGCGCTGTTGCGCTACTACATCCCAATCTATCCGCTGCTGTAACGTGAGTGGCTCTGCACCACTTTCTCTCCCATTGGGTACTTTATTATCCTGCGGGCAACAAGACTGATCTTTTGCCCTCAGTTACCTGTAGATGAAGATCGGGCACCAGGCAGGTCAACCCAAAGCCGACCAGCAGCAAATTAGTGAAGGTGAATGCGCGGGTGGCATTGCTGATCTTCTGGATCTGCCTGTCACGTTTCTTTGGCTGAGTAGGATTCCTGAAGGAAAAGCCATAAGTGCATTACACAGATGCAATGCCACATTAAGCTTGTAATCAAATAATAATTACGGATTGGACTGGTCGGCGGTAAGTGTCAAAATTATGCATTAGGTAGCAGGATGCTCATCGTTACACTCACTTTGCAACTTGTTTCTCATTTTCGTCCTCACACTCTTTGAGCTTCCAGTCCATGATGTAACCGATCACGGGGGCCGTCAAGAGACACAGCAACTGTAGCACCCCGAAGATAGATGTGTATGTGCTCACTAAGAGAGAAATAAAGTTGAGTTTTAACATTGTTTTAAGGGTCATTACATCAAAAGTGGTTAATTTTGGCAAAAAAAAATCATTCCAGCTTTTATGATGTGCTACTGTAATACAGATATTTTTAACATATGCTACCATTCAAAAGTTTGAAGTCAGTAAAATGGTAAATCACTAAGAAGTAAAAACGTGGACAAAATTGTAAAAGTAAATAATTAATAAGGCACCTAATGTCAAATTAGACTGACAATATATTAATGTATTTATATATTAAACATAATAAAATATATTAAATATATTTATAAATGAATACATAAAAATATACTACAATATATTAAAATGTATTAATATAGCTTGAGATGGACCAATTAAATTTATTAACACTTAAACATATTATTTTTCTCATAGAATGTAAAATATCAGAAATTTACAGCCTTCAAAAATGGAAAAGACACCCATTTCATAGCATGACCCATGACTTGTTCCTATGAAGGTTAGGTGGACAGATGAATGATTGGATGGACATTAAACTGTGCGCACTGATTTAGATGCATCACATCAATCTCTAACCACCAAGGGCCGGGTTCATGCTTTTACATGACAACATGAATCAATGTCAAATGAAGGTGGAAGAGGAGGTGGAGGAAGAAGGAGGTAGAAACATGGGGGGGGGTGAATCAAGAATGCATCTAATTTTGGCTGCAGTCTTACCCATTTCCATCCTCTCCACTGAAAAAACACACCAAGCAGCATGACAGAAGAGAGTGCAAACAGAGGACAAGAGACCGACAGCAAGGAATTAGCAACGTGAACCTGCTGTGGCCATTCGACTACATATTAAACACATGATTAATAGTGTTAGGCAGCCAATCACTGCATGTGACATCAGAGAACATTTAAGAAGAAAGCTGTAAGAGGAATAGACTAGAGTGCAATAGTGCTTTTTTAAAACGTTTTAATGGAATTTATTTCGCATGATTTTCTCCATAGGCATCTCAAAGCCATGAACATTTTTAATGTACTGCAAAAATTCAGAAAATATTCAGATATTAATTAATTTAAATATAAGTGATTATATATATATATACATAATGTATATAATTTATACATATTTAAAATTTAAATATATATAAATATTTTAAATTTTCAAAATATTCATAAAATATTCAGATCATTTCAAATATAAGTAGATATAGAATTATAGAAATGTATATATATATATATAAATTAGCAAATTCTGTTATCATAAAAATCTAAATCTATATGGAGAAAATGAATGGGACCTTTACTTCCGAAAACCAACTGTTGCAGACTGTTCCATAGGTGACATTTAGCATTTGAGCAACAGAAACAGCTATTAGCCTGAAGCATCAGACAACTTGTTTGGCAGCATGATATGAGTATTTGTCAAACACACATACCTTTGCTCAGGTCTCCATATGCAAGCGACTCCAGAATATTGTTCATGGCCCCCATGTAGAAGATGAGACGGAGCTGAGTCACACACATTGTGATGAGGCTGAGCATGAATATGGGGCTAAAGATGCTCCGCATGAAGGACTGGGCTGAAAAACACATTCAGTAAAACCATTATCAATAACAATAATTTTTATTATGCCAAATTTAATTTCAAAATTGTACACTGTGATTGGACGACCATATATGCCAACACCTTTAACTATGCACATATTCTTACTGCCATACCATTTCCAAAAGCATCTTTACATGGAAAACCACTGTGAACTTGATCATTGCAATTTATGCAGGATGCTTCAATGACTTTAAAAATTGCAAAAGTATGTAGGGTCAACGGGGTCCTGTTCACATGGAAAATAATTCTGCAGGTGTTTGGATGGCCAGGCAACACTTCAATGCCTGGCACAGTAACACAGAGGCCGGGGGGTCTGGGTTTGTTAATAATCCACTAATTCGAGTGCCATAAATGCACACTGCCGGCCACTGACCAGCACTAGAGAGGCCTTTACGGTGCCCGTTACCTGGTACACTGGGAATCTGACCTCAACGCACCTGATATGCTCTGGAACACATGCACACACACAAACAAACTACCTCATTATTTCTCTTAATACACAAACACACACACACACACACTTTCCAGCCACTGCAGTGGAATGAAAAAGTTTTTTAGGAGTCGCGGCAGTAGAGGCGGCGCAACTATAATGACATGTGAATAGTCCCGCCCACTCTAAAGCGATACTAAACTGCAGTGGAAACGCAACCGGAGCCGTGCCGTACCGTACTGAGCCGTACCGAGCCGAGTCGTACCACGCAGTGGAAAAGCGCCATAATTGACTGCGGTAATGGAAACACAGGGTGGTGAAGGCATTAGCGCTCTATGGATGACAGTTAGACGGGATCAGCATCAGTCTCTCTTTCTCAAACATCTCCAGCTGCGTCTCTAAAACAGCTCCTCGGTGCTATCTGCCCTCTCCCTTGCCGCCTTCTCCACCCCTGCCAATTTTAGCCCCAGACATACGCCAGTGCCATGGGTCCTCCAGGAACGCAGTCTGAATTGATTGCACGGTCCGTTTACTACAAAAGAGCCCAACCCAGAGCCCCGTCGAGTGTTGCAAAGCCCCAAAAAAGGTGCCGGTAGGGAGTGAGGGCACTTTTGCAGTATTCTGACAAGTTTGAGGTGAATTTGGAATAATTGCACGGCGCAGATTTGGGTTAGTAGAAGCAAAGTGCAAACGCAGCGTGTGCCTGCAGCCTCAAGTGGTTTGGCAACCTCCAGATGTCAGAAACCGGGTGTAAAGCTAATGAAGGAATCCCCATGCACAGTAAAGGAGATTTACTGAGGACCGTTCATTAACACCGCCCCCTGTCTGCTCGAATATTCCCTGCATGTCTGGACGCCAAGGGGCGCACAGTGAGGGGGAAGATGCTGTACAGTGGCGAGGGCCATGTCTCTCTGTGTTCTGTCCAGTTCTTTCTGAAATATGCATGAATTCCGGATTACATAAGTCACTTCAATTTGATGAACAAGGACTTTGTTCAACACATTAAAACAATGGAAATAAATGAGATTTGGTAATCCAATTACCACTATTCTGCCTTCATAATTAACAATCAAGTTGCATTACAGATAACTTTGAATTACTTGGCAGTTGGCCCTCATGTCACCAGCTCATTGGTATGATTCTTCAGGGTCTTCATGAAATGTCTGCAACATACTTTGGTTAAAATTCTTCAATGGTCGTGTAAAACAACACCCTTTTTACCTTGTCAGAAACAGCTCTGTTCACAGCCACCCGTTTTGGTGCATGTCTCTTTAAATGATAATGAGCTACTGCTCACCCCTCCCCTCTCTTCCGGTTTTTGTTTATTCACAAAGCCACTAGAAGGCAAGCCTGCAACCTTTAGCCAAAAAAACAAAATGGCTAATGCTAACGCTTCCGGTTTGCCAGTACGTGGGAAAGGAGACCAGAGGCCATTTTTTTTAATGGCTGTCAATGGCGGAGAGGCTTCACTACGCTGAATAAACAGCTTTTTAGAGGAAAAAGCTTATAATTTAAAGGGGTCGTATGATGCTGCTAAAAAGAACATTATTTTGTGTATTTGGTGTAATGAAACGTGTTTATGCGGTTTAAAGTTAAAAAAAAAACATTATTTTCCACATACTGTACATTATTGTTTCTCCTCTATGCCCCGCCTTTTTGAAACGCGTTGAAATCGCATCATATGACCCCTTTAATGCATCGACAGCCTATCATCTAATCTCCAACATGTTTTACACTAAGCAATACTTTTGGATTAAACTATTTTTAAAGTTTACACCGAAAAAAAATTCCGTTTTATAAGAGAAGTCACTGACTTTTTGCGACAGGTGGGATTCAGCTTACGGCATTTCTCATTCATTCCTATGGTATCCGTAAACGGCGATTGAGTCGCACAGCTCTGACAGAAATTCAATGACGTCAAGGCTGTAATGTGATTGGTTATCAAGGCACACGTGATCCAAGTTGACCGTTGCGCTTTCTCCAATAGTAATACAGACCCTCTCATCTCCCTATGGTAAGACAATCTCTGGTTTATTCGGTGTCGCGTTAATATCAAAAACAAAACTAATCCACTGCGTCCTCAGTGCCTCTGATTTCGGGAAACAAATTAAGACTCTTATGTTCACTTTTACATCCAACTACAAAACACCTGCATTGCTTACAAGACATTGTTGTCGCTACAGCTGCTTGAGTGCAGAGAAAATGGCTAAGGGCTGAAATATGATAATACGGGACAGTCCGTCAGCGGTCGTGGGTGGGGCCTGAGGCGTATGATGTCATACTGCTCAGAAAATCAAAACGGCTTGATAATTTAGACTGTTTAGGTTTTTTGGGGATTTTTATCATTGTAAAATGGTTGTGTCCACACACTGCTAAGACACCTATGCAAACACCATGTAAAAGTGAATTTTGCATCCGATGTCCCCTTTAAAATGGACCCTGAATGACACATACAGTTTTATTTGATTAAAAATATTTTGATATTAAAAAATATTTATAATGTTTTTATTATTTATCTTTGAAAAATATTTTATCAGCAAATCAATATGAATGATTTGAAATTAATTAAACTGAAAAATTAACATGAATTTTTTTCAATAAAAGTGTTTGGTGCACTTCAGGACATCTGACCTGACCAACCTGACTGAATTTTGAATATCTCTTACTCATTTTCATAACTTTTATTTGTTTTAAAATGTCCTAAAACTTAAAAATCAATATCCTAAAACTTTTATTTCAAGGTTTCAGATTGTTCAGATCATCAGAAATAAGTCTGGTCAATACAAAACATGTCAGTATGAACGATACTTACATTCCTCCTCAGACTTGCACTGGACCTCCAGATCAACGGTGGACAGGCAGAGTTTATTGCCCTCTTGGGTGGCCAGCTGTTGTGGATTGTTCTTCATTGAGTTGCCAACACTCAATCTCCGACCAACAGTGGTCACCTGCCTGTAGAACTGTTTCCCTGTGATCTTATGGTCAAAGCCCAGCCAGCTGAACTTGATCTTCACACTGTTAAAGAGACAAGGTTGAGCGTGAGACAATCAGTGAATTACATTCCATTAGAACCTTCAATAAGTGGATACAGCAAACAAAATCAAGTTTTTCCAAATTTTCCAAAAATGGTTTTACTGAACCCAAGATACGCACGCTATTGATCAAAAGTTTGAGGTCTGTACGGCTTTTTTTATGTTTTTGAAAGAAGTCTATTATGCTCATTAAGGCTGCATTTATTTAATTAAAAATACAGTATTGTGAAATAACGTGAAATATTATTGTAAATTTAAATGACCTGTTTTTTATTTGAATATATTTTAAAATGTAATTTATTCCTGTGATGGCAAAGCTGAATTTTCATCAGTCATTACTCCAGTCTTCAGTGTCACATGATCCTTCAGAAATCATTCTAATATTCTGATTTGCTGCTCAAGAAACAATTCTTCTTATTATCAATGTTGAAAATGGTTGTGATGCTTAATATTTTTGTGGAAACCGTGATGCATTTTTTTCAGGATTCTTATGAATGGAAAGATCAAAAGAACAGCATTTATTTCAAAAAGAAATGTTTTGTAACATTATAAATGTCTTTACTTTCACTCTTGATCAATTTAATGCACCCTAGCTCAATAAATGTACTAATTCCTTAAAAAGAAAACAGCAATGCACAGACACACTGAACCACATACGTGTAATCCATATCCTCGGGTCCTGGGAAGGGCTCGAGTGGCCAGTTGAAGAAGCAGTTGATGAAGACCAGGCCGGCACAGCCAGCCCACACCAGGAGGATGGTGATGAAGGCAACACCAAGGTCATAGATCACCTTATAGAGCAACAATCATCATCATTATCACAGAATTAAGATCGGCTTATTAAATAAGTCCAACCTGGGACTCCGATTTACCTTTATTCCTGGGAAGGTGACAGCGGATGAGGCATATGAGCCAATCATGAGTGCGATGAAAGTGGAGCGGAGATCACCAAACATGTTGGGAAGCTACGGAAGAGATAAACGGGATATCAAAAATTCTTCATGTGTGTTAAAAATGTCTATTTTTTTTAGAGACTGTACTTGGGCCCAGTGCCCATCATGAGTACGAAAGGCAAAATATATTTATACATATTGTGAACATAATATACAAGCCACGAGCAAAACAAACACAGAAATCTTGTAATAGGATCCGCTGTAAATGACAAAACATGTCAAATATAGCAAAAGGTATGAAAGTAAACATTATATCATGGTAACAGTGATATTCTTTGATGGGAGCAACATGTAGGTGGGGGCAACTGGATGGTCTGAATATTTTTTAGCAGCGAGAGAAAGTATGAGGGACACTGGAGAAGCTTGCATAATGCTGTTGCCTTTAAGCTGGGCGGAGGAGTACAGCACTGGCTGTTCTAAACTGCACTGTCAGACACCACTGAGAAAATACAAAGGAAGGAAGTGAGCCTGAACGCCTAAGGTATCTGAGAAGGAAATGAGGCAGAGAGAGCAACAGTGTATTCTTCATTAGTATCAATAGTATGCCGTGTATTTTTCAATGATCAATAGTATTCAAGAGAATATTCTTAAAGATAATTAATGTACAGTACTCTTGAATATTTTATTTAATTACTATTAATTTAATTATTCTTAAGTTCATTTTATTATAATTTGTTAGTTATTTTTTAATTAATTTATTTAAAAAAGTAAATTTAATTTAATTTAGAATCAGAATCAGAATGAGATTCTTTGTTTGTATTCTTAAAGAAACAAAGAATTTGTCTTGCCGATGGAACCTTCCAGTACACACACACACAAAACAAGACACAGATTATAAAAATAAACTAGGATTTAATAAAAATGCATACAATTAATAATTAATATAATTTCATAAAATAAATAATGTAATTAATCAATATTAATTCTATATAATTTAATATATAATGAATTTTTTTAAATATTGTTTAATAATTTTATTCACTTATTTTATTTTTAATTTAATTTAATTAATTTTTTATTTTGTTGTACGTTTTTACATTTTTAATTATGTTTTTGTCATTACGTGCAAAAAAGGATTTTTAAAGCGTTAAAATGTTCCATGTAGTCCCTTATTGTGGCCAGCCTGCATAATGTAAAATAATTGGCAGAATGCTGTTTAAAATAGTTTCAGATTGAGTATAGTATGCCACAGCATTTTTTTTATTTTTTTTTATTCGGGTTTCAGATTGTTCTACTACATGTTTCTTATTTTCTAGGTATTTCCCATTGTCTCCGTATATACAAATCCTCCATCTATGTCCCACCTGCTGACAGCTGATAGCGTCTGTATATTGCATTTCCTCCAAAACACACAGTTCAACATCATCACAGATTTTCTAAGAACTCTCTGGACATCTTCCACGTCCCTCTTACTTCACAGTCCAAAAGCTTGTTAAAGACAAGAGTGAAGGAAAGCTCTCTGTTGGAACCCAACCCAGACGTCACTCACTGCCTCTAATTGGAGTAAAGGTCATCTCAGAGCCAAAACATCCCAGATGACACTTACAATAACTCTCACACACACAGCAGCCCTAGGCGGCATTGTGCCTGTGGCTGGAGAGGCTGTGTAAGAACGTTTTTTAGCTAATGGACTTTGAACAGAACCAACGATGAACAGAGCACCACATGATGGGCCTGCCAGAAAGAGAGTAATGGCTATTTTCTTGGAGTTGAGTAACATAAGTACTCAAAGACTGTTTCAACAACACGATGTTCTCCTGCTTTCACCGACAGTCACCAGCCACAGGCGGTCACATGATGTCAGACTCAAAGAGACCTTGAAAAAAAGGCCCTTTTACTGACACTACTTATCTTGTATTATAACTCTAGCGCCACTCTGTCTTCACTTGCTTGTTCTGCAATGAAATTGACTAGGGATGGAAACAAACTCCAAGTAAAGCAATACATTCTGTATTACATCAATAAAGCCAGAATAATCCACGGAGACCAAACAGTCCCAAAGTCATGGCCACTAGAACAGAAAAAACACAAATGTCACTGTAGAAAGCTCCAAAAAGATAACCAGTCCATTCTCATGTGCGTAAATCAAGACAAATTTGATCAGCCAAAAAACAAAAACGTCTGCACACTGAAAGACACAATTAGACCAAGGCAAGGGTCTATCACAAAAATTACTTTAATTAAACAATAGAAGGTCATGAATAATTGCATAAATTAATCATCCTATTGTGAGTTAATATTTATTGCATTTAAATCAGTTGCACTTATTGTTAAACACAGCAAAATGTATTTTAAAGTATTGTGACACATTTTACTCATGGACTGAATAATTTTTATTTTTAAGAGTTTTTCTTTTTCTGTAAAGTCAATTTATGTAGCAAATGTTAAAATCTTACAACTCAGGGTTATTATAAGTTATTAAACCTAAATCTAAAACCATAAATCATTTTTGTTACTTTGAATTAAAATAAATTTTGACTAAATTAAAATAAAATATTATTAGTTAGTTATTTTATATATATATATATATATATATATATAAAATTACAAAAAACAAGCAAGATCCATCTCTTCATTCAGTCCAGTAGGGGTTAACGATTTCAGTTCAAAAATCCAAAAAGCCTCTCTTTGTAATAGTTTTTTGTCACATTTACCCCCTCTCCTATGTGGCAGAATCCTCTCAATGCCCAGGAACTTGAGATCCGAAAGAGAATGCTTAGCGGAATCAAAATGACGAAAAACTGGAGAAGAGTAATCTTGTCTCCTAATGGCACTTGTTATATTGTTATAATATTGAATTAATTTATTTTCCAACCCATTTTAGGCCAGCAATATAGTAATTTTTAAACAATAGTTGAGTTAAATAAAACAACCCAGCATGTTGGGTCAAACATTTAACCCAACCAGCTGGGTCCAAAAAACCCAGCATGTGTTCTGTCCAATATTTAACCAGCGCTGGGCTGCAAAACAAACAGAAATGTATTTTTTTTCAACCCAGCATTTTTTAGAGTGCAGTAAGGACACATTAAATTAATCAAAAACAACATTAAAGACGTTTATAATGTTGCAATAAATCTATAAAAAAAAAAAATGCTGTTCTTTTGAACTTTCTATTCAACATTGATAATAAGAAGAAATTCTCAATGTTTTCAACATAGATTATAACATTGCTATAACATAATAACATCAAACAATAACTTTCTTAAGCATCAAATCAGCATATTAGTATGATTTCTGAAGGATCAAGTGACACTAAAGACTGGAATAATGACTGCTGAAAATTTTGCATTGCATCACAATTGTAATAATATTTCACAATATTACGGAACATAAGTGACTTCTTTCAAAAACATTAAAAAATCTTACCCCAATTTTTGAACAGTTTATTAGAAAAAACAGTGATATTGTGTTAATTTAATCACTGGGTGTTTCAACTATAGGCACAGGGTTATCTGAACTTGCATTATAAGTTGTTTAAACTGAGTGCTATTTTTAGTCTTGAGCTTCCCAGAAGCAGATTTAATTTGGGATTGATGTGAAGTCACTGGGTGTAATACTTGATTGATTTGTTTAAATACAAGGGAAAATCTGAAGTGCCCGAGTTGAGTTGTCCCACTCTAAAAAACACCTGTCAAAAAAACTGATTGATATGTTGGGGTTTTGTGGGAAAACAAATCAATTAATGTTTTAATGAGAAATCACACCCATCGTCATTATGAATTTGGCTTACTCTTCCCCGTTTTTTCAACATATGGCCACAGAAAGCTGTCAAATCCTTTTTCCAGCTCTCTCGCTCTCTCTGTGTGTGTGAGGAAGGATGGTGAGTCATTGTAAATGGATTGGGGGGAGGGGGATGAAGTGGCTAAATTATACTTGCTACCATGAGAGAACGACAATGAGAGAGAGGAAATGAAAACAGGGACAGAAGTGAAAGAAATACTCTTCAAGGCAAGCCAGTGAAAGCTAGTACAGGCTGGCCATATCCTGACATTGCAAAGTCCAAATATAACTGCCAGAGGGTCACAGATAGTCTGTCTGTCAGTGATATTCATGTTACTTAATATGCACTTGATTATTATTTGTTCCACATTTAGCTGTCTGGTTGGCCTTCGTACATTTACAGTAGATGATTAATTCTAAAATAAAAAAAAAACATTTACACCTCGTTTCGAGAATTTGGACATGTGAACAGTGTGACAGTGTGGCAGTGTGAACGACATGAATAGCTTGTCTCTGATAACGACGGCATGAGTGTTGTTTAATTTAATAATGTTTTCTGAAGTCTACATGCTCTTATTCCACCATTATAAGCCATTTTTCTATTCTCATCCTCACATGACTCAGCATCCTAAAGAAATGGGTTATAAATGGATTGAAGGCACACACACAAAAAAAAACAGCATTAGTGCATCAGAAAGAGAGAGTGAGAGACAGAGCTGAGATAAAAAGGAACAGGATATCCCCAATTTTATAGCTTAGAGGTTGCTATTTTATATATTTGATTCCTTACAAAAAATTATAATTTATGTCAAACAGTAAGAGTATAATTTATGACATACTGCGCAATAAGAGTATAGAGCTATAAAATGAATATGGATTAAATACTAATACTAATTTACTGGTTGCTAGAGTGTTCTGGGTTGTAAAAAAATTTAATTTTCTTTATCATTGCTTGTTTTTTTTTTTAGTAAAAATGCTGTAACATTCCGCTGCAGACAGTCCAGCCATCAGACAGAGAGCTGAGTCAGTGCACTGGGAAAACATCAGAGGTGTACTGGGAGGAAACACAAGCTCTCCTGCACTCTTCTGCTAAACTATTAACTGCTGAGTGCACAAATACAGAGAGAGACAGATAGAGAGACAAAAAAGTGAGGAAAGGAAAGAGGAAGACGGGTTAACTGGCCAACTTCACCTAACTTCCTTAGTTTTAAGAATGTGAGACTGGGTTATTTCTAGAATACAATGTTCAGAAAAGTTTCTCGTCTGCAGTTCAGTAAAGTTCAATTCAAGTCTACAGACCTTATGCGTCAAAGAAACAAGTGTGCAGCCATCTTTAGAATTTTGTCTTTGAGCTTCCTTTTTTGCATAGATATGTATAGGTAGATGCCCTATTAGCGGCTGTTTTTATGAGCCGTTATTCACAAGCTGTCCGCCATACTGGAATGGTCAAAGCAGGTCTTTGAACACTCAAAAGCAAGTTGCCTGTATGTCTGCAACCGTAGTTATACGCATGTAGGAATCTCTTTATCTGCAAGAGACTTGAAAATGATTTTGCTAAACTAACACAATACAAGACGAAGCCTTTAGCTAACACAACATTTAAAAGGTACTATAGTTTAAAAACCTGTAATATTGAGTTAATACATATTAAAAACACAAACTAACACACATAACATGAAAGTTTATCCAATTTCCATTTTTACAAACAGAGGTTGTGCAATGTTGTGGCATCTTGAATCTCATTGATTTTTATTGTGAGTGACGCCACATTGACTGTTCCAAGATGGCGAACGTGTCAACATGTCTGGTCGAATGTGGCATCTACCTATATATATCTATGCTTTTTTGCAGCAGCTCTACAGCATCACTGTTGAAGATTATTTGCTGGTGAAGTGGATTTACTTATTGTAGAGTTAACAGAAGTTATTATCTGCAATGTAATGTTTGAAGCTGTCATAACAAATGTCAATAGACCTGGAAGATTTTAAAATCTTTTAAAATCTCGGTTCATTCATTCATATCTCGATTCATATTGAGATATGAATTGAAAATCTCAGTTCATATTGAGCATTGCTATGTACAGGGCATTCTAGGTGGTTGCTAGGGTGTTGCTAAGTGGTTGTTCAAGGATTGAGGGTGATTGTCAAGGTATTGCTAGGTGGTTTTTTGGGTGTTCTGGGCACTGCTAGGAAAAACTGCTAAGAAAAAATAACACATATCTCCACAAAAAGCTGAGGTATCATTCATGTCAGTAGCTAAAATGGTGCAGGACGAGTTAGATGCTGAATTTAGACACTGTATGTGATTAAATGCATAACCCAAAGTTTGAGCAAATGTAATAGCGATACCTTAACAAGGATCCTTAATAAATCTAAAAAAAGTAACAATAATGAAGCTATTGAGAGATGCACCCAAACAACAGATGTCAGACAGTACAACCTATACTGTGAGCCCCAGGTTCTAACCTCTCGCCACAACAACCAGCAGTGTAAAACACACAGTTATACAGAACAGCTGGGAAAAGGTTATATGAACAAAACAGCTGAGATAACAGTTTGTACTGTTCCACTATGCACTCATGCATGCCAGTTAACTCTCTCTGTGAGTGTGTGTGTCTCTCTCTCTCTGTCTGTCTGTGTGTGTGTGTGTGTGTGTGTGTGTTTTTTTCTCTGTGTGTATGTAACAGATGGAGGGTTCCCCGGACAGGCTGAGGCATGCTACAAAGGTAGCACAAGAACCCGGGACAGAACATCAACAACACAAACAGAGAAACTGGTTGCGGGAACAGCTGTGCCTTCAGTTATGAACTCTCGAGACCCCGATGAGGGTTTCTATGACCTCAGAGCAGTGTGCAGAAACCAGAGACAACCACCCTTCAGCTGGCAATGAGCACAACTTCCTGCTTACTTCAACCCAGTCTGCTCTCTTTAGATCTCCTGGTGATGTTCTGCAATATGAACCCAATGCACTGCAGATGATACACTAAGCATGAGACTAGATAGAGAGAAACAACAGCTCTGAGATGCCTTACTGTCATCATTCTAAGGCAGCATACTAAACAGAACTTCACACGTGACTGATTTGGAACGCTCTATAGGTAAAAACTTAACTCTGTTTGCGCATTCCAGACAGACTGATCTGTGTAGCAGTAGACATTTTTCAGAGGTTACATTGTTATATCAGCAGGTAGCAGCAAGTGACTTTCTTCATGAGTGAGTTATCAATTAATTAATTCAACTGAATCCTTCAAAGCACCAATTCATTCAGGAAGTGACTGTCTGAATTCGATACAAATAATACTTTATACTACTCTTACTATTTCTCCCATATTTTTATATGGCAGAAATAGTTAGAATGGTATGCTATTTTGAATTCAGCCACTGTCTTTAAGAGTGAGTCATTGAATCATTTACTCCACTCATTTGTTCAAAAACACTGATTAATTCAGAAGGCTATGGTGCTTTGGGTGGTTGCTTGGGTGTTGTAGGTGGTTGCTAGTCCGTAGCTATGGCATTGCTAGGTGATTTCTAGGTAGTTGCTAAAAAACAATTTCAAATCACATTCTATGTTAATATCAGGCAATTGTTAGGATGCTGGAAATCCAGCTAAGAAAAGTATCTCTTTAAAGATGAATAAATGATGATGCAGCAATTTTTAGGAGCAGGAAACAGTGGCATGTGGCCAGTTTACGAGATTGCGCTATGGCCTTTCTGCAAAAGACTGGAGAGGACACCCATGGAGACCCACAAGTATGACATGAGCACTTACTGTGAGCGAGGTGAAGGTCATGCACATTCCTCCAAACCCATTCAGCGCCAAGGCGAAGAAGATCAGGATGGAAAGATCTGTGAAAGAAAAAGACAAAGGAGGTCAAAGACAGCGGGGACAGACAGGTATTAACAGTAATAGTGGACTCAGGTGGATTGCAAACATACTTCTAGGGTCACTGGCCCCATATGCAATCAGGATGCAGGAGAGGGCAAACGAGGCACTACAAAAAGATCATTTCACATTATTGTAATAATAGAAAAGAATAGAATAGAATAGAAAATGAATAATACTTTTTCACCATATAAATGTAGTGCATTTTTATTTAGTGTTTTTGGATGCCAGTTTTCCTCTTGTACCTGCCGAGCAGCCTTAATTTGCGTGGGCCATATTTGTCCATGATGATGCCAAGGGGCAAAGTGATGGCGCTGAGGAGGAAGGAGCCGATGGTGAAGGCCAGGTTCAGCATCTCATCTTGCTCTTTACAGATGGACCAGCCATTCATCTGAAGATTATCCTCCTCCTCACCTCTCGGGACTACTGTCGTATCATTTTCATTCTCAGATACGTTCTGCCCTGTACCATTACCTGGGGGATTGGAGAGGGCAAGACAGAATGAAGCCAAACTGAGCAATCTAATCACCAAACTTGCACTAACCAGCTCTATGGACTAACTGGAACTCTGACTTCTAGGAAACCAGTTATAACACTCTGGGAAGTAAAACAGGAAACACTTTTGTGAGATATAGCGGCCACTATCGTGCCCCCCTCCCAAAGGGGCCAGGATGCTGGGCAAAGGGTCAAATAAACAGGCTGCTATACACAGTAAACAAATAGCAGAAATAGCATGAGAGTGCATCTGAACCCCCACTGGAGTTGCAGGCTCCTAAAACCAACACCTTCCTACAACTGCTAAGGCATGAGCAGCTTGACTAACATTTAACCCTGTTCTTTCACCCAGGCTTCCCTGGTTGTTTTGACTATGGATAATCACGCTATGACTGCGCAACAAGTCTCTTACTCGGTTCTTGAAGATTCAAGAAAACTGTTTATCCACACATTCTTTTGAAATGCAAACAGCCTTGAAAATGTTCTGGAATAGCTTGTTCTGAGCCGGACAGATGGGGGATGGTGCTGTTTGCAGCATATGGAGGAAGCTGTTATGAACATAACAGGGTGGCCAAGAGACAGAGAGAATTTGTGTGAGGGATTTTTGTTTAAATGTGATAAATAAATAAACAAACGAATGAGCTGTTTGTGGAGCAGAGATGACCTGAGCAAGTGATTGAAGATGAGAAGAATTGGGTTAAAGCTCACTGATTGATTATTAATGTACATATCTGCTGAGCTTTAGATGTTTTCCTGAGTAATGAGGAAGGAGCTGCCTTAAGTCAATACACACCAGTTTCAATAGCTGCTGCAGTTACAGACTGACACAAAAAGAAGCATATGTTTTTACTCTTCTTCATGAAATTAATGAATAAAAAAGGTTGTTCTCTATTCAGTCTACAATCTGAGCCACATTTCAGCTCAAATTCAAAAGGTAAAAAAGGAAATTAAATTTTACAAAATTGAATGGATGAAAAATGAACTATTTTAAGACTGTTAAGATTTTTTGTATTGTTACATTGTTTTTTATGACAATGAATGGGATAAGGGAATCACACTTGAACGCATAAATCAAATTTTATTTTAAGTTACACTACATTTTTATTATGTTACACTACCTTTCAAAAGTTTGGGGTCAAGATTTTTTTTTGGTACTTTTATTTAACAAGGGTGCATTCAATTAGTCAAATGTGACAGTAAAGACATTTATAATATTACAAAATATTTCTATTTCAATGCTGCTCTTTTGAACTTTCTATTCATCAAAGAATCCTGAAAAATCTCAGTTTCAACAAAGATATTAAACAACACAACTCTTTTTAAATTCAACATTTATTATTTATTTGTTTGTTTGAGTACCAAATCAGCATTTTAGAATGATTTCTGAAGTCATTTCTGGAAATTCAGCTTTGCCATCACAGGAATTAGTTAGTTACGTGTATATTATTATAAATTGTAATTGTAGACTTCTTTCGAAAAAAAATAAATAAATAAATAACTTTCCGACCCCAAATTTTTGAAATGTAGTGTATACTTTTTCATAAATAAAATATCAGATAAAAAAATCATAAAATTGTATAAATATTTTACCAAACAAAAACAAAAACAGGCTCCATTTTCTTTATGCAAAATATTTTTCCTTTGCTTTTGGGATGAAATATGACTTGCAGATGTTCTTGAAATGTTTTGTTGGATTCACCTTTTAGATCTGTTAAGAGCGAAGAGCTCTATATCAGATGTTTCAGAACCCACTGTTCCACTAGATCTAATCAGCAACAGCAAAAACCAGAGACAGGCAGGGCTGATTTTCCATTTGCTTTGAAATGGAGAAGTGAAAGAAGAACAGAAAGAGAATTCAACACGAGTCTGAAGTACAAAAAACGTCATGAACTCAGACTCGGTCAGATGTGCTGGGCCAAAGCATTTAGCTAGACAAGCATTTTCCTGGTCAGTGTTTCCTCACGCCTGCTGATTAAAGAGAACCAACCAGCTGATAATGTGCGGTGGAAAGCTGAGTCCAAGGAAAGTAGGTGGAAATGGCAAGATAATCTAATATTTACATTGAGCAAACGCTTGAGCCACATTTACTTCCTTTTGTCATCAGTCATGTGATGCCTGCTGTCTGGAATCTCTGAATTAGATTCTGACAACAGTTGAAATGAAAGACAGAAGGGAAGTGTGAATGTACAGGATTGCAATATGCACTGAAATCTGTGTCCTCTCTCACTATCCCATCAATAAGTGTCAAAATGTTGTTGTACTAGCTATCACTCAATGTTAGCTAACAGCAAGGAGATCTGAGGAGGAGAAAAGCCATTTGTTGTGTTTGGAATTTGAGCCTCACACTTCACATCATAGCATGAACCACAAACTCTCAAACACCAGATAAGTGAAGAATGCCGGACAGACGTGCCCTTTAGATCATGGCGATGGTGTTTACTTTTAGCCACTGTGCTAATGGGTCATACGATATCAGAGTAGCAAAGGCTGTTTCTTCAGAATTATGGAAATTTGTTTTCACCAAAGCGTGTTAAATCATTTAAGAGGCAGATTTCATAGTGGAAAAATAAATCAGGGCCAGTTCAGAGCAGCAAGGTTGAGTCTCCTGACCTCATTCCCTGAAAAAATCACAATGAAAGCAGAACAGAACAGCACCGTCGTTGAAGAACAAGATGTGATGCTCCAAAAGAAACTTTCAGATATTCAGATATTAAGCAGATATTATGAAACCATTAGCATCTGTGTTGAATTGCCAGCGGCCACATGACAGTACACATTAAGAACAGACAGGAGGTCAACAAAAATCAAATAGTTGAGCCTTTATTCATAATTTCACACCTTTTTCCCCTCACACATATATATATATATATATATATATATATATATATATGTTGGATATATTTATTTTGCATACCCGAAAGGTTATTTGAATTAATTTCTCACAGGCACACATGGCTTCCATGTTTTTTTTCTTACCTCTGTGTCATTTTGCCCTGTGACAATGACTTTTACATGAAGTCCATTAGCAAAGGAACAATATGAGTTTAAGGGCATCAGTACATGATTATGTAAATAAATGGATACAGGTTGTATTAATAAAGAAAGTTAATCTCGGACATCAGTAGGATCTCACTGTTCTTCATAGATGTACCAGACACATCATGACCCAGACACACATTATTGTCAAGAGAAAGAGTTGAAAGCTGAACAGTCTTTTTCTGGGTAAGAGAGTCTACATTCATCTGGATTAATTGTGCAGCAAAAACCATTGTGTACTCAGTATTTTTGTCCTGTTTTTCAGTGCAAATATCTAAACATTTATAAATTAAGATACATTTACTTGAGAAGCAAAATGACAAATTAGACCTTTATACTTAAAACAAGAAAAAAATATCTGCCAAATGTGGTAAGAAAAATAAACTTCCCTTTCGAGTTCCTTTTGAGTTAAGATATTTTTTTTTGTATTAAGTATAAATTCTCCTAATTTTTTTTAAAACAAGACCTTAAGTCATTTTGCACCTCAAATAAGTAAAAATATTGATTTAAGACAGTTTATATATTTTACACTGGAAAACAGGACAAAAATCCTGAGTAAGAAAATAATTTTTTTCAGTGCACATTTATATTAAAGCCTGTGTTTTTAAAGAACAACATATGAATAATTATAAGTTTATGCGATGGTTAGCCTCCATCTTTATTAAGTGGTCTTCAGCTATTCAGAAAATCCTCAATTCATGTATCATCTGAACGTGTGTTCAGGATACACAAATACTCATCTCTAACATATTAGTTTAGCATATCAAAGATTCTCTACTGTATTATATAAGCTAAGCAGATTGATGTCCTCTAGTCTGTTTACCGTGAAATCAAGTCTGTGACGGTGCTCAAATTATCTAGACACCCTTTGCCAATGTTCTGAATGCCAAACAAGCTTGTAGATGCTGTTTGTAATTCCTAATGGCAACACAAGCAAGAGGGCTTCCAAATAAGGTGCACTGACTCTCGGTGATCGATTGATATTCAGGTTTGGATTCCTCCACGAGCCTTGCGATGGGCACCAGACAACATAGATTTTATTTTTATTTTTTACTATGCTGTATTACATTCACTCATGCAATGAAGTAATTATAAAATCTATAAACTGTTCCAGTTTTAGAGAACAGCCTCTGTTGCAAAATAAGAAAAATTTTGTAGGTCAACTCAACATCTTTGTTAGAGTGTTTAAGGTTTTAGGTCAAGCAGTCAAACATTTATTGTTCAAATCTGAGTGGGGAAAGTGTGAAAGCAAATCTATTAAAGCCATTAATATTGTATATATGTAAGATTTTCCTTTGATGCTCACGTAATTATTTGCAGCATTCAGTCTGGCATCTATAGTGAATAGTGTATTTAATGTCTTTATGAGTGTCAATAAATTTCTGATTGTTTCTGTAACACAACCTGCACTGAGTGCACCCTTTTCTCCCCCTCCTTACCTGGCTCTCTGCAGAGGTAGGAGTAAAAGCCCTCTGATTTTAGCATAATGAGCAGAGAGCCCCATCCGAGCAGAACAGCAGAGAACAACAGGTTTTCGATCACTGCAGTAATCGCCATCCACCATCGCCTAGAGAAGGCTGTGGCCAGTGAAGGAGCCATGACTGAAGGAGATGATAAGAGTATGTGCTGGTAATACAGAGGAAAATCCCCTAAACTTCAGGGAAATCCTGTGAAAGTGACAACAGAGTTGGGTATTAGATATTTAATGGTAAATATTAAATAATATTATTAAATTATAAAAACTTTTACATATTAAATACATGTATAATGACACATTTTAAAATTTTATATTTTTTTATTCTCCCAACGATTTCACAACATTGTTTTTCACAGCATATAGTAAATGTTCATTTGTTGCCAGTTTGTCAGAACCGCAACTCCCTCCGAACACCATTTATATCCCGTTTCTTTGTCTCGCCTAGCTACAAAACAGCTCATAAACAAAATAACAGCTGAGTTCCAAAAGAGAATGTTGTTGATTGAAACCCTGCCTACTTGCCCGCCTCTAGTCCCGCCCTGCTAATCTCTGATTGGCTGTTCGAACGCTCGCTTCTCCCCTCATTGGCTACGTGATAAACAGATTCAGCGAGCATCTCCACGTGAGACCAAGATCCAGCCGGTTCGAACCAGTGCGGCGCGATTTGATCGCTTTGTGTTACTAATATCTTTGTGCAAAATCTATTTAACCACAGGGGACGTGACATTACGTCGTAATTATACGATTCGATTCTGTTTGCTTTGCATAAGCGAAGCGGTTTGTGGGATGCAAATAGAAATCTTGCTCAAACTGTTTTATATGTTAATTTAAGCTTCATAATAAACATTGGAAATTGGTCGTTTCATTGGTTGGATCTATTTGCGCGCGGAGTCTCATTTGTGATAAACAGTATCCTGCGGAAAACAAGCAGCCCTAAAACTGGTCTGAACTGGACAGGCATCATCACCATCAGTGCCTCCGCCTGTGTTGTGTACCCTTCTCCCCTCCTTCATCATGCATACAGAGCTCAGCTGTTCCGTGTATACATCTCTGCACACTGAATAACAGACGCGTTAAACGCACTTCCTGGTTATCGCTTCACTGTTGTTCTGCACTAGGCTAAATAAATACTCGCTGTATAAATGCGGGCATTTTGTAATATATACCTCATATATGATGTACAGACAGTTCTATTTCCCATTCATCATATGAAACTGCAAAACACGGTTTCTGACGGCAGATGTAAGAGCCCGTATAACAACAAGAATCAAATAAAACGCCACGTACATGACAATCATTAGGCATTTTTCAGAAATAAACAACTGTCGAGGCTTTTAGAGCAAGTTGAATATAATACAGCTGTTTGCGGTAGACATTGAACAAAGTTGCGGCATAAAACTAATACACCGCTTTATAGAAATCAAACAACACATCTCAGTTCAGCTAGAGTTCATAACGCAAAAGAAAAACATGCATTGACATGATAAAATACAATTATTGAAGAATGGTGGAAATCTGATAATCGTTGTCATATGGCAGAATTGTGGGAAAAAATCTATCATTTTTTAAAATAACATCTAATCGGTCTAAAACATAAATACTTCTAAAAATACTAATACAGTATCAACAGTCTTAACAGGTAAACTTACAACAGAGCATCCTTATAAAAATTAATACCTATTTCCTTCACCAAATCCTCGCTTCGGCTGTCTTCAGAGTAGAAAGGGTATAAACAACCTTCTGGTGCCGATTTCACTCTTTGGGTTATGTTCATACATCAATTTATTTTCCAACATCTCTTATTCTCGATTTTATATTTGCACCGCTTGCTTCACACAAACAAGCCAACTTCCCCATTGGCTGGCTCCTGAGCTAGAGATGAGGCCAGCCAATCAGAGCGCCGCTCGGCGGATATATATATATATATATATATATATATATATATATATATACGTGATATATGTATATAAAAATAATTTCACATTATATTTCGCTCCAGCGCAAAGAACACTCACATGTCACACCGGATTGCGTGCTGTTGTGGTCCCTGCTACCATTCTACAGTATTCGATTACATTTTATGGCTTTTAAATATTTATAATACACAAAAAACAAAAAAAAAACAAAAACAAAAAAAAAACAAAGCCGTCCTCATACTTCATAATTTCTCATAATAGTAGCCAAGCTGCTATTCACCAATTATATTACTGCAAAAACACCGGAAGACTGAGTTTTGTACTAAAGCATATTGTAACATATCGTCATTGAAATCGCCAGATGTCTCGATGTACATTATGGTTTTCCCAAGAAAAAGGAACAACAGTCACTTTGCTCTCTGCTCTCTGGGGATCAGATTTAAAGCTCTTTTCAAACTTCTGAAGTCGCATTGATCAGTGGTCTGTATAACAAAGATACTTCACATTGTATAAATAAGCTAACTGAGTAGAACATATACAATAACAGGTCATTCATTATACAGGGGAACTGAACAAATGACCAAAGCTCTTTATCGTTGTTGTTTCTTGTACTCTTTCTTAGCACTAAACTGAACAAGGGATGAGTCACAAAACATCACGTCGGCATCTGGTGGTTTAAATGAGCAACTACATTGCAGCTATATACATGGCTGTTTTATGAGGGATTAAGTATATTAAATATTCCTCCGGAACCAGTTGAAACTTTTTTTTTGCACCTCCTCCACCTTTTTTTTTTTTTTTTCTCAATAAACTTATCACAACAGACGTAAGAATGTACATGAATGGTAAGCGTTTACATTCAAGGCAGCAGGCATCAATATATGGAATAATACTTCTGACGCAATACGGTTTGAACTTTGAAGTGATGACAAACCACAGACTCCATTACCAAAGCAAACTGGAATCTGGAGAATCCATATAATGTTTATTGAACATCTATTTGTACATCTTGTTTTAATTATTGCATAACAACACTTGTACTTTGCATTGTAAGCATTGCTAAGCAATAATACTTGTTATAACCATTCATATTTCATGATGTTATGACAATTAATGATATAACAATGCATGAACCTATATTATGCAACTTTCAGAAAGACAGGTGTGTAATGTTTCAAAAAGAAATAGTCTGACAGATCTATCTATCTATCTATCTGTCTGTCTGTCTCTATCTATCACACTTGTACTTTGCATTGTAAGCATTGCTAAGCAATAATACTTGTTATAACCATTCATATTTCATGATGTTATGACAATTAATGATATAACAATGCATGAACCTATATTATGCAACTTTCAGAAAGACAGGTGTGTAATGTTTCAAAAAGAAATAGTCTGACAGATCTATCTATCTATCTATCTGTCTGTCTGTCTCTATCTATCTATCTATCTATCTATCTATCTATCTATCTATCAGTATGTATGATTAAAAATGCTTCTAATATACACTACTGTGATTTTAGCAATGGTTTCATAAGGTATCTTTAAAATAAATGCATTTACTAACCAAAGAATACTCTGATTTTGTGTATTTTACACTTACATTTTTACTTCTGTTTATGAAGTTTCTAAGGGCAGCCCTGAGCTCTGCATGTAAAATCACCCACAAAAATGGGCAATAAACCAGTGACTGTGGCACATTTATTATTGTCAAACTGGTCTGATACAATATAGCCGAAAAGAGAAAGAAGACAATAATTTATAAAGAAGTAGGAGAAGAACAGATGTGTGTTAAGAAGCCATTTTAGGGCCCCCAAAATGTAACATACAGCTTCTGTCAAACCTGATTGTGTGGGTTTAAGATAAAGCTGTAAAGATTCTATAATAAAAAAGATAGCAGTTCTTTCACAAAATAAATAAATGCAATTCAGTGTCTTTAGAAAGAACTGTCTATGAATCCTAAGACAGTTCTGAAAATATTACCGCTGATTAATGTACAAATGTAGCATACAAATGACAGCTCCTTAAAAGTCCAGCAGAGGGCAGTAGTAGCCTGAGTGGTTAAAGGAATAGTTGTTTTAGTGAAAACACATCGTAATGATGGATTTGTTTCTTACAAGCATGCTGCTTTTTGTTTCACAAGATGTTAATTGATGGACTGGAGTCGAGTGGATTACTTGTGGATTATTGTGATATTTTTATAAGATGGGCTCTCATCCTGACGGCACCCATTCACTGCAGAGGATCCACTGGTGAGCAAGTGATTTAATGCTAAATTTCTCCAAATCTGTTCCAATGAAGAAACAAACTCATCTACATCTTGGATGGCCTGAGGGTTTAGTACATTTTCAGCAATTTTTCATTTTTGGGTGAGCTATTAATTTAACAGTCTAATATGTATTAAAAGTATTATATCAGAGCAATTGTACCAATATGTAAAATAATGTATGAATAAAATGTGTGAATGAAAATGTTTGTCATGAACCAGTTCGGCAATGCAAATTATGTTTTAGGGATCTACTCCACTGGTTTGTTGGTCGTGGGTCAGATGCAAACTTTAATGTCAAGGTTTGGTCTGGTCTTTGCAAATTCTTTCAGTTTCTTGACGCCATCTTTGGTAAACTTGTTGTCAAACAACCTGCGATGAATAGAAAATATATTTGTGGCATCTGTGTTACAGAATCATGAGGAAATAAACTGAAGTAAATCAGCTCTAAATGTTTCTTACCACAGATACTCTAATGTAGTGTTCTCTTTCAGGGCAGCCATGAGGACTTCTGCTCCTTTGTCTGTCACTAGGTTGTCACGAAGTCTATACGATGCAGAATGTTCAAACACATTGAACTTTAAAGATGAGTAAATGATTTGAGAGACTGAAATGTCGGAGTCTCTTTTACCTGATATCCGTCAGTGTGCGATTCGTCCTCAACAATTCTGCAAGATAACCAGCTCCGACATCTCCAATTTTATTAATGGCCATTCTAATGAAAGAATGATACTGCAAACATAAGACAAGTGCAAAATATCTGTATTTGTAGCCAAAACAATATTTTTTTTCCCCACGGTTCACCTGAGATCAGTCACAGTACGATTTTCTTTCAGCGCTTCTACGAGGATCTTCAGGCCTTCACAGCCAAGCCCTGTCGCAACCACCCTATATTGAACATACACAGCCATAATAAATTTGCGCTTGCAGCATGACTATTTTCTTTTATTTATTTATGCATTGAAGTATTTATTAAATATTTTATTGTATATAGTATTTGTGATGTCGATTTTATTTATTTTATATATTTTTATTTTACATTTTTATTTACTTTATATATTTTAAATGACTTTATTTAAATAAAAATTGCATTTATTTATTTCACTTACCACAGCCTCTGAATACGACAATCTGGGTTTCTCAGAACAAGGGATAACACAGATGCTCCCTCTGAACCAAGAGGATTCTGGCCCAGGCTTTATGTAAAGAACACACAATGAATATCACAAAGCACACACAAAAAATTTTTTAACATTGAGGGCTTCACATCTGCCTCTGAACATTTATACCTACAATTACAGTATTTACCTGAGTGTCGAGAAGAGAGGAAGGACTGGTAGGAGCTGGTATAGTCCTTGAGCATCGAGTCCTTGAGCATCTAAATTTAAAACCTGCAGATCTGGACTGAGCTGTAACAGGAAAGCCAGCTCGCTCCAGTCCCTGTTTACCGAATCGGACTGATCTGAGGCCTGACGTGAAAGAACTTTCATCCAACTCTGTAGCCGCTGTGACAAACCAGGGTCCTGGGCCTCATATAGACAGTGACAAACATTGACCTGCCTCTCTGGGCTGAGGGTGGTGCTCTGGAGTTGGGAGTGTAACAGATGGAGGAGGAAAGGTGGAGTCGGGTCTGGAGAGGGCTGGCAACGGAGCAGATGCATCTTGGGCCCATCAGGGAAAAATCCATTTAGGATGAGACGTGTTCTAGGAACCAGCAGGCCACATACAAACCTGGATAAGCGGAAATAACTGGTCAGTTATGAAATGGAGTCATTGTAAATCCAAATTTTACAACCTGAACTAACCTTTACAATTTATATGATATTTCTATTGAAGATTTGCATTCAATACTCTGTAAGTGTGAATTGCATTTTTTACGTATTTTTGAATAAAAAGACAAACAAAAGATGAGTGTCACATCATTGACCTGCTAATGAAATGCATTTAATATGACAGCAGTTTTAAAAGGTACCTGCAGAAAAGATCCATGTGTCCAGACAGATGTCGTTCACCACAGTGAAGGGCCTTCTTAATACGTCTGCAGAAGAGACGCTGCGGTCTGCTGAATTTGTTAACAGCTGATGCCATTTGCTTAAATGCAGATTGAAGGTAGCGGCCTGTGCTCTGTTTGAGGCCTGAAAATGGATCTGATCCTGAGAGTGACTGGAGAACATAGTACAGGGCAGCAAGAAACTCCTGCACGCTGGTGTGGATAAAATGAAAGCCCTTTTCAAAGGTGAGAGATGCTCGATCCTCTTTAAGTATCTCAGAGAGGAACACCTGTGAGAGTTTGGTGCTGTCCAGATTAAAAGAGTTCAAATCAGAGCTTTCAAAGATGAACCGTCTCTCCAGGAGGCCTTTGAAGGCCATAGCTCCCAGGCTTTTGAGTATAGGCTGCATTTCACCGAGGACGTGAGGGGCGTGCTGAAGCCTGGTGTGATGGGAGCCCTCGGTACGCCCTTGCACATGGAATAGCAAGATGGATTTAACAAAGCAGCAGTAGATTTCAGAGATTGTGACTGGTTTTGAGTTCTCCTCAGAAGATCCCAATGAAGAGTTTGGTTGGTTGGTTTCCCCAAGGCCTTCTTTTTCTCCTGGCTTGGCACTTACAGAATCAGGACAAAGGCAGGAGCTGCCATCATGCAAGGCGGTGGACACGATCCAACAGAATGCAGGAATGTGGCACATGAGGAGAAGGGGCGTATGGGACGACACCGAAGCCCACACTGCATCGGCAGCCTCAGGAGAACTGCAGTTCTGCTCAAAATACTGCTTCTGCTGAGCTACAGAGAAACCGAGCAGACTGTAAAACTGGCTGACCAGAACTGGAGGAACTTTGGAGACTGCGTGAGGTCTGGAAGTTAGGAAAATGGACACTCCTGGAAGCAGATTTCCTTTGATTAAGTTCACCACAATGGATTGTATAGGTTGCACCCGCTCAGGATCTGAACACTTGGGAGTGAGTTCGAAATTAAGAGGGTAGCAGAACTCATCCAGACCATCTAAGATGAGTAAAAACTGGGTTGGGTTTGAGTTCAGTAACTCATGCAGGAAAGGTTTCAGATGGATGTAGTGATCCGAGAGCAGGTCCTGCAAGCACTGCTCTTGAGTTATGAGGTTCAACTCACGAAAGGACAGAGATAGGACAATCTTAGACAAGTTGGTTTCTGCAGCCCACTCTCGCACTAGGCGTCTCACAACCGTGGTTTTCCCACTTCCAGCAACTCCTGACAGCATGTTCACACCACTCGATGGGCTGCACAGCAGATTCTCAAACACGTCCATGAAAATGCAGATCTCATCCGCTCGTGTCCTGAAAGCGTCCCCAACTCCTGTTGACTCATGTCGGCATTGAGAAGACGATGCATAACCAGCTTGTCTTGAGAAGGAGATATCAGTCCAGCACCCGGTCTCAACCTGTCCCAAAGTCTGTCCTCTGATGCTGAGATAGTCCACCAGGCCATGCTGTCTGGCCAATATGTCCTTGTGTTTTTTGAGATGCTCTTGCCTGTTGGCCTGTCCTAGTTTGGCGGTCTCATCTTGAACACTTGGTAGTATGTAAAGAAAAGCCCTGCATGATTCTTCTCCTCTCCCATGTAGCACATCCAGCAGAACTCGCATACATTCTCGCTCACCTCGAGTAGCTGAACCTCTAATAAGACTGAGGTCCTCCTCGGTCACTGCCCCCACATTAAACAGCACATCCAGAAGGCCTGTCAGGTGTTCGCTGTAGTTCTCCACCAGCTCCACGCGACGCTGTTGAATCTCTGTGCTACAGGGTCCAACATCCATCACTTTAAAAGTTCCCGATTATGGGGGGTTTGGGGGCCCCTAATTAAAGCCTAACCTTGCCCCCAAAGGAAGTCAAAACAAAATGTGTAAAAAGTCAAAACTTTATTCTTTTTACATATAAATAGGCCTATTCAGAAACAATGTTTCACAAACCATAAAAGTCACAAGCTCCCAAATAGGCCAAGTCAAAGACTATAGAATAATTAAAGGGACTTTGGCTAAGTGGCGTTTGAGGAGGTGACTATGGCAACAGTGCGCTCATGGAGCATTTTCTGTTTAGATCGGTCGGACAAATCAACAACGAACATGATTGATTAATTGAAATGTATTTGAATAAAATGTATATGAATATAACTTCAATCACAAATATAATCACAAAACATTTGTTTAAAATGTACTGACAAATGCAGATGACAGTTGGTTAACAAAGATTCGCATGAATACTTCACACCCGGAAAACGATCAGAAATTCCTTTAAAAATCTACCCCCATTAAAATTCCTATATAAATCATGTACATCTAATGGATATATTAACAGTTCCGAATAAGCACAGCGAAAAAACAAAGCGAAATGCTTTCATATAATAAACGAACTTACAGGGTCACACGCATTATTCCCACACTTCCGTAGATTCTCATGGATTTAATAGCTGCTGAAAGTGAAACTATCCTGTGCGATACAGTAAGCCTATTATGAACAACTCATATCTTGTCAAATCCGAAACTCTGTGGATTATGTGTAGGCTACTACTAAATTACACACATATTCATCGCTAGAGTAAAACATTTTGGGTGTCTAAAATATGAAATATGAAAAAGTCACATGATATATTGTGTAATAGCAGAATAGAAGAAGTTGAAGGATCTCCGCCCAAGTCAGAGTCACTCGTGCACTTCTCCGAATTAGTCTTATTTATTTTATGTGGCTGGTTTCTGTTTACCACTGTGTACACTAATGAATGAAATCACTCAATTCTAAGTAGCCTAATTCAACTCCAGCAGTTTATCGTACAGGCTCTATTAAAAAAAAAAAAAAAAAAGTGAACAAATATCACTTGCCAGTGACATCACATTGGCACCATCAGTCTCTCTTTCTCACATTCCCTTTCTTTTCTTTCCTGGATCATGGTACCAAAGCTTGATAATTTGCTAATAGCATTACTGCTTCTATTAAATGCAAAATTACATTTCCACTAGATCATAAGGAAAAAAGATAAGGGAAGTTGTGACTTACCTTAAATAATGCGAGCACAAATACCCATTCCCATACATGCTATGAAAAATACAGATCTGACATGGCAATGCTTTTTTTTTAATCAGCTTTAATATGCTCAAATACATTGTCAGTTTGCTTCAAAATGAGAGATTTCTTCCAGGTATTTTACACAAATATATAAAACAAAATCACAAGTTTGAATTATCTTAACTTGGGGGCCAACAGTTTGTGCGGACAATATTGGGGTATTTTTTATTTTTTATAAATGTCAAAAATAGATATTTGTTCTAAATACATTACATGCGGCACTTATGCATACACCACCAATTAATGTGTTTCCTTTCAGTGTTTTCTTTTAAGCATCCTCAACTATGACAACAGCTACGATAGGCACATGCTCAATGTTTCTCTGATCATTCTCCTTTGACGGTCACGACATCAGGGCAATATCAAACAATTGTGCTATCAAGAGTTTTAGGTGCCCGAAATCCAACAGTGCAAAGGGTATGCCAAATTTCCACTTTTTAGTTTCTAAAATAACATTTACATTTGGGCTGCCAACATTTAGTGGTGCTTTGTTACCTTTTATCTACACAAACCTGCCTCAGAGAAATAAACAAGCCAAGTTACATATTTTTTGTAGATAACATACAACTTACCCTACTCTTATGGCTAACTTATCTCACATGCTTTACAGTGAGCTTAGAGTAGTGCTAACGTGGGAAATGGCATTAATATGACAGATTATTGTGTCCAGTGCATTAGGAGCACAAAGCCTGAGCGATTCACCACTGGAGTGTGGGAGGAAAGGCCACTCTCAAAAATCACTCTTTTGTCCATTACTGGATTTCTTTTAATTTTTGCAGGATCACTTATCGTATCAAAGATACTTTCTAACCCTATCATTTTGAGGCACAGATTTAGGACTGAGAAAATAAATATTTACTGATCTCCAAACTCAGATTGAGCCCTTAAAGTGGGTAAAGAATAATGAATGAATCATGATATAAAAAACGGGGCTGGTTTTCAAGCATAGTTGCTATCACCAGACATAGCTTGCAGATTCTTTCCATCAACATTAAGATTTCTTTTGGTAGCTTTTCATACATGGCACGCACCCTCAATGCACTTGGCGTACGCTCTGTAAAAGTTTGTCCTCCTTTTTAACACGTCAGCTAATATTAATAACTTGTGAGCAAAATTATGTTGCACAAATAGTTTGTAGAACAGGTTTAACCGTTCAAGTGAACATCTCAAAGTCATCTTCTCTATGCAAAAAGTAATTAATATCTTTCCTATGAATGCAAAAGTGTATTGGTTCTGAGTAGGTTTGGATTGCAGAATCCATGGAAAAGTAAAAGTAAACCACGGGTGAACATAGAACCGAAGCTAATAACTACTCATTATGAACCCTGATTTACCTCATTAGCATGGCTGAGGTCACCTTCTCTAACAAATCAAAATTTCCCAAATAAGCTAGATAAAGACAAGAGTGCAGGAAAATGCACATATATATTGTTATTTCTTGGCTTTGACATAAAATCATAATATGCATATAACAGTATTAATCCCCCAAAACATAAATAAGTTTGCTGGATTTTCACAACTTAAAGCAGAGCCTTTTGGTGCAGCTGGCTGGCGTCTGATTGGCAGAGAGAAGCTCCGCCTTTAGTCATGTGATTGATGAAATAAGGAGCATATCTGGAAGATCCTGTGAGAATGCAGGAAGTACTTGATCATGACTCGTCCATCATCTTGAGTTGAGGCGAGGGGCAGTCTGAGAAATTAAAAATAGGTTCGTTATTTCAGTGAGAAAAAAACAATCTTGATAAACATCCATTCAAGTTTATTTCATCATCAATGCTCACCACAGAAAGGTGTCCATTCTTAGCCTTGGCTATCAGCAACTCTGAGCCAGATGTAAAATCTATGATCCCTTCTTTTCCTTGTGCCACATTGAACTTTATACTGTCCATGCAAGGGAAAGCAATAGTTTTTATTAATAAAAGTATAATAATTTCATAAACGAAATTCTGAGATTTACAAAAGTCTGCCTTGAAACTTAAGCTTTATTTTAAAAAAGAATAATTTTGTGTCTACCACTGACCTTCCTTGGTTAATGTTAATGCTGTTCATCTTGTCGGCGCAGATGGCCACTTTGGTTAACGTCTCAATGACATGCTCACTCTGAAGCACCACGTCACCCTGTGACACCAATACAGTTCATATATTCACTCTGAAAGCAGTTGGTTTAGCGCTTAAGGAAATTAAAAGCAAATAACTGATCTCCAGACTTACTTTCTGCTTATTGTCTTCACAAGCAACATGGAGAACAAACATGCCATCACTCAGAGAGCTGACAGAAATCCCTACAGATAAAACAGAAGTGGTCAGTGTGTCACTTTTTACTTTGTTGTGATTCACTTTTTTTTCAATGGGTGTTTTCCCACTAGAGCTTTTGGCACGAATGTCTGAATTTGAGGAAAAAGTGACTTTTCAAACTGGGTTTGAACAAAATTCTGAATAAAGCATTCAAGTCTGCTTGAAAATGCAGTCTCTGGTTCATTTCATGCGAATGGTGTGCCTTACAACTGGTATGAACGTAATCATACTAAGTGTAAAAACAGTTTAAGCTGTGTCATTCTCCATCCTTCTTCTCACCTTTCAGTGAGCTGTAGTCGATACGCTGTTTGAGCTTGGCCTCCTCCACAATGATGGCACTGTCTGCCATGAGCATGAGTTGTCGGTTGCGTGCTTTGTATCCTTTTCTATCATATTTAGTCACTGGAACAGCATACTGTGGGGAAGGATGGATTATATTAGCAGAATCACTTTTCTTCTTCACATACTGTCTATAATCATTGATGCTTCACACACTGTCATGTATAGTAGTCAAGTCAAGTCAAGTCACCTTTATTTATATAGCGCTATATATAATACAGATTGTCAAAGCAACTACTGTGTTAAACAAGAAAAACGTGTGCTGTTAATCCGAGAGGACAATAGAAAACAGTCAGTTTATCAGATAAAGTCAGTTCATTGTTGATTCAGTGATGTCATCGTCCAGCTCAGTTCAGTTCTCTTCAAATAGTGTCTGTGCAGTCAAGTCAACAATGTTGCCAGAAATTGTGTCCCCAACTAAGCAAGCCAAAGGCGACCAAAACGCTATAGAAAAAAACCTTGGGAGAAACCAGGCTCAGTCAGTGGCCTGTTCTCCTCTGGCCAAACATAGTATAGTACTGTATGCTGTCTGAGAAAACACTGAGAAATGAAGTAATGTGTAAGAGATCACATATTCAGTCATGTAAAATGACAGATTTCTGGCTTTTTTGGAGAGACTGATGAGAGGATGTATACAAAAAGAGTTGTGAACCACAGTCTCAACCACATTAAAGAGAGATTTCCCAAACAAACATCCCAGAATTTAACCAACCTTCATCTTCTCATTCCCCACAGCCTGTTGCAATTTAGGGTTGATGTCCTCGCCACCTTTTGACATGCACAGAAAAAAAAAACATTACAATATACAACACAGGAAATCCAAACCGAGGTCTCCTGAAGTCTCCAAACTGAGGCTGAAAACTCACTGAGCCTTGTGCCCACAAAAAGTTTTGGGACGCTTTGTGGGTAGTTGTCCTTCTTGTCCTTAAAGATTTCACTTGCAACCATCTTCTGCTCCAACTGCAATAACAGATAATAAAGCTTGTTTTCCATTAACTTAGCAATCAAAATAAACTAATAAATAATCTAATATAATAAAATACAAAATTGGACTAATAACAAATTATAATTAATAATAAATAAAGAAAAATTATTTATAATAAAAAATTAAATATTTAACCATGTACAATGTATCAACAGGTACTTTTCAGTACAGTAGCCCAACAAAACACAAAACAAAAAGCAAAATAAAATGAAATAAAATAAAATATAATGGGACACCTGGTGTTTCCATTCCGAGTTGATATTCTTGCAGTACTTCCACACCATGTTCTGCATGCAGAGTTTGCGGAGCTGCTCTGAAGCCTGTGAACGAAAGGAAGGCATAATCTCTCATCTCATAGAGGAGTCCATGATTGTACTGGTGACTGATTCATGACTGATATATCTCACCTCAATGAGGGCGGGAGGTGGCGTTGGCCAGCTCTTATCCAAGACAGTTTTGGGCAGGCTCCTGTGCAACTTCATTAGGAATGAGTAGCGAACGTAATCCAGGAAGTATTCATTCTCTGGGCAACGTGGCTGGTGGCGGTAGATGAAGCCTTTGACGAACCTGTAACAGTGACCATAGACGATAAAAACAAAAGTGAGCATAAGCTCTCTCACTGGGCAGAACACATGAGACACGTGATGCCATACTGATTATTGTACTAGTCATGTCATGCACACAGACCTGCGGATGGTGTTGGCAGCCTCTCTCCTACGCTTTGCTTCTCTGCGGGCCAGAATACCTCTCCACCAGGCTTGGATCTTGACAGCTGATTGTCGCATTTTACGGTATTTGGTTTTTTGACTGTAACCTTTCCAGGATGACTGCAGTTTGGTAGCTGTGCATGAAGAACAGTTTGTGGAGGTTAAGGTTAGGCAGACCATCCAGTGAAGAGTTACATGATATGTATTTGAATATGGCTCATACCAAGGCTGTGTTTTCTGACTTCTAGTGCATCTTCGGTTGCAAACAAGGTTTTGGGGAAGCGGATGAAGATTTTGGTTCTTTAAAAGAAAGAAAATGGCCCTCGTCTTTTTTGGAACCACAGAAAGATTTTTTTTAATACTAATAGAATAAAAATTAGCATTTTTAAAAACGTATTTGTGTAACCAACCGGCCGAGTTTGTACTCCTCAGGTTTGTAGCCGAGGTACTTGACGAGTGTGGACACTCCATCGACCAGACGGCCATCCCAGTTTGGCCAGGTGTCTGGACACAGGGATTTATACCTAAAACAGGAAAGCACAAGCATTACCCACAAAACTCAACTACATTTTAAGCAGAAAGAGGAATCACTGTTTTCAACACACTCCTTGTTCCCTTTGACCTTAATTATCACTCAGGAAGTGCGGAGCCTTTAAAAGAGGATTAGAAAGTGTGAAGAGTTACAAACAAGCTTTTTGTGAGAGCCTTGCTGAAAAATAGCCTAAATCAGCTAAATTGGGTTCAGGCTAACATGAACTACGAGTTAAAAACATATTGCGGGTTACCGTTATGAGGTATGTTTGGTGACCCAACAGGGTTACACTTGAAATAATAACCAGGTTGTGCCATTATAAGACCAGCATTAAAACAAGTTTTTATATTTTTCAGCCATGTAGATGCCAACCTCTGCAGGAAGGTCTCGTAGCGACGGCGATATGCAAAGCCAGCTCTCCTCACCCGAAGGTTTTCCATCAGACCAAGATATTTTACTTGGTGCCTGATGAGGACTTCATCAAAACGCCCTGTAGAGAAAAATAAACTTCAGTTTAACAAGGCTTCGTAAAATGTAATATATGTATGAAACTATAGATTTGCCACTATTTATGAGGATAAGAGCTTATTAACAAACAAAAGACGTTAACAAATATCAACAAAAGACAAGGGCAAAACAAAAGAGCTGATGAAGTAAGAGAGAATCAGAGTGAGGGAACGAATGACTGCAGTTTGAACAATGAATCCATTACATCACATGGAGAAGAAAAAACTGCACAAATAAACTCATAATACATATAAATACTCAAGATAGATAGATAGATAGATAGATAGAATGTACCAAAAATATGACCAATAAATGCAACAATACATGATAACTTTTACAATAAATTATAATACTAATAATTCTCATGTCCTATAATAATACAATATTTTCTACATACCTTGGAGTACCACCTAAATACAATCTTACATGAATATTGCAATAATTCAGAAACATGGAATGCATCAAACTACCATAATACTGCCATACAAAAGCATAATAATACTGTCCCCATGGTAAGGGAACAGCTGAAAGGAATAAGTACAAATGAGAAAAATAATCATTTCTAAGTGATAAACAGCACTACAACTCAAGTACAGAAAATTGTTCACAAACCTGCTTGCTTGGCATCATTAGGCTTGATGCAGCGCACGTAAGACGGTTCCTTAGACATCAGGATTTCCATCAGCTTTGCCAGACTGTTCTTGAACTGGGTTGCTGTCTGGTCCCAGCGAGCCAACGGAACGAGAGAACAAGAAAAACAGACGGGTAGTGAGAAATAAGCAAGAACACAAGCCACAGTGTGCAAGTCCAGTCAGGCAGTGACAATGTGGGAGTAGCCAGTGGTCAACAATGCAAGCAAACAACTAAACAGCAGCCCACCCACACTCGGCCAATGGAGCTGTGCAGAGTGGGCACTGAGATTGGGGGGGATTCAGGACTATACGCAGTCACATGGAGTGAAGAGGTACCACAGTGTCAGGGCATTCCTCACAGTGTGGGTGGCAAGCAGAGATTCACAATTTCATGGACTGAGGCCAAGCTGTTGTGGTTTATGTATAAATGCTACTATGAACTGATTCACAAACAAATTTTTGTTGTTTATGGTCCTGCTTAAAGGTAAACAATAACATTTGACACAATATACATATAACCTTCTAGAAATAGCAGTATTTAAGTTAAAAAGATTAATACTTGAGAGATTACTTTTTGAATCATAACTGGATGGATAGATAGACGGACAGGCAGACAGATCTACATATAAACAGATGGATGGATGGGTGGATGGATAGATAGATAGATAGATAGATGTATAGATGGATGGATAGATGGATGGATAGACAGATAGACAGACATAGACGGACAGACAGATAGATGGACAGACAGACAGATGGACAGACGGACGGACAGACAGACGGATAGATAGAAAGACGGACGGACGGACAGACAGACAGACAGACGGATAGACAAGACAGATAGACAGACAGACGGATAGATAGATGGATAGACGGACGGACAGATAGATGGATAGATGGACGGACAGATAGACGGACGAACAGACAGACAGACAGACAGACAGACAGATAGATAGATAGATAGATAGATAGAGTGAAAGTATATATATATATATATATATATATATATATAATTTTTTTTCTGGGCCTGTGCCCTCACCTCCTTCAGGTTTCTGAAAAGGAGATCATTGTTCTTGTCCAGGAAGCCTAGAAGTTGGAAAAAAACACAATGACGTCAGTCAACGCTCAGCCTGGGAAAAAATCTGTGGGCATAAGTGCCCGCTTTTGTTCAACGATGCGCTCTCTTTCGGTTTCTTAATTTTTAATCGCTGTCCTCCGTTCAGTAACTGACCGTTCACATTGTAGTTGACTTCTCCTGCGTAGTGGATCAGTCTGAACTCCTCACGACCCATCACTTTACGGGTTTTTCCATCAGCCAGCTTGTGACTGTAATGTAGTGCAGATAAAGATGTATAAATATCATATATATTGGTTTGCAAATGCTCAGTATATGATTTTAGGTCTGATATTAGAAGGACAAAAGGAAGGTGGCGTGACTGACGTTAGGAAGTGTGCATGGCCACCGACAGTGTCCTCAAGCTTCTCCAGGAAGGTGATGTCACTGGCATCTCCAGGCCGGAGACACTCTTCATCCTGTAGAAAGAGAGGTCAATAATTTTAGATTTAAGAAGCTTAAAACAATATCTAATATGTTGATGGAAGTTCACAGAGAGCATTCTCACCAAGATGGAAATGATTCCTTTAAACTTTTCCTCCACTAGATCACAAATGATCTTGTTGTTAAAATATTGCACAGGCTCCCACTGGAGAAACACAAAAACATGAGCATTACTGCATTTGAACTAAGAGGAAAATATTCAAGATTTGTGATGCTGTTTTTGATATAAAATTCAAGGAATGCAAAATCAAGAGCATTCCCAGCCCACCCAAGAATCAAGGCCACAAACAGGCTTTCTTTAACAGTCTATGCTTCACAATGTTTTATCGGCAGTGTGAGAGGTCAGCATTACCATACTAATACAGCATGAAAATAAAGCCCACGGCACGTTTGCCCATAATGTGCCCATTGAGCTGCGGGTAAGACCCCATTCCAGCACCCCGCACACGACTCACATATGCTGAGCTGTGTATGTGTACAGTACGCATATGCGTATGTGTTTCTGGGAATTCTCACCGTAATTCCCTCAGCTTCATATTCCTCCTGCTCCGACTTCAGAGTCAGTTCAATGAAGAGCTGCTGCAGCTTCTCGTTACAATAGTTGATACAAAACTGCTCAAAACTAAACGGACAGACAAAGAGAGGCAGAGTGAGTTATCTCTGAAAATTAGTCTGATTATACTCTTGTAATAAATAAATAAGAAAGAAAGTTACCCAGATTCAAAGATAACCAAAATAATAAAAGGAAGGCTTTATTTTTCGATTTATTGTATGAAATATTATATACTGAATATCAAAAAATTATTAATAACATGATTAGTATGATCATTAATGATTAATTTCATATATATACACAATATGAAAATATTTTAAAATACTCATTTTAAATAATTTATATTCATATTAAATATTCATGCTAAAGATTTACTAATTAAAATAAAAAAATAAAATATATAATTTATGGGCTCCAGCAGCTTGACAGAGGACAAGTGGTTTGGAGAATGGATGGATATAATAATTATAATTTAAAATAAAAACAAAAATAAAATATTAAATGTAAAAGAATATAATTACAATAATATTTAATATTATAATATAAACATGTCATTAAATATTACAATAATAATGTAATTTAATTATGTGTAATTATTTAAAATATTCAAATTAATATTAAATATTTATAGCAATATTTATAGTAATATATTTATATAGTTATATTTATAGTCATTTAAAAAAAATTTTTTTTTAATTTATGCATTTAGCAGACGCTTTTATCCAAAGCGATTTACAGTGCATTCAGGCTATACATTTTTTACCAGTATGTGTGTCATATATAAAATAAACAGTATATGCAATATTACATTAAATATAGTATATAGTATACATATAATGTTACATTGTATAACATAAATATTATATAAAATGTAATTACATTTTATGTATTTACTCTACCTGTTGTTCTGAAAGACCTCAAAACCATAGATGTCCAGTAGACCAATGACAGAGGCGTTCTTACTGTTGAATGAATCATCCTGTGAGACATTAAAAGCACAGAAATATTCAACAACAGCTGTGGCATGCCGTTCAGACTAAACATACACAGCCTGTAAGATCATATGGAGAGAATGTGTTCCAATAACAGATGGCATGCCATTTCCATGCTTTCTCCACGTGGGGGCGCCAAATATTCACTTTGCGATACTAGCCTCTAAGGGAGAATTTGCTAAGCCATGGAGCTAATAGTGTATTTAACAACAGAATGAGTCCATACCTTGAAGGCCAGAGAGTCATTAATTTTGTTGACCAGCCAAGTAAAAGTACGACCGTATATGGCTTTAGATAAGGCATCCCGTGCTGAAGCAGCCTGCTCTTGATTTAAAGGACTCATCAGCTACAACACAAACACAGGCAGTGGAATTATGGAAACATTCATAGTCATTTTTATTACATATAAAAACAGAGTTACACACCAACTCTGAAACTGAATACTCAACTAAACTCTTTTAAAAAAAGTTTTAAAGCTAACCAGCACTATTTTATTTACAGATGGTTTGAATAAAAGCTTTGAATTGAATCTGTGATTTAAGATTCTTCATATTTTATTAATTACATTTTTGGAAGAAAATGTTACTAACTAATATTTCACTCTAGAAAAAATTGGAAACATACTTCTTCTCCTTTGGCAATGATCTTTTTATGTGTTAGAGCCTCCTTAAGAACAGTGCCGTCCACCCCTAACAACTGCAATATCACAAATACACACACAAACAGTCAAACCCCTGCCATGTAATTTCAATACACATGGTTAGAGGTTTAAACACAAACACTTAGATTAATAAACACAGTGATATAAACAAACTGTCCTATTACCCTGGCTAAGTATTTAATCTGTGTCTCCGTAGTGATGTAGGCACTGCCGCTGTCCTCTCCTCCGTACTGAACATTCCCCAAGTGTAGTACACTGGCAATAATGTTCAAAAGCTCCTGTGGAGAGAAAGGGATGGGTGTGAATGAGAGGAACAATCACAATTTCAAAGGTAAAGTGTTTAATTTCTGACACCAGATTGCAAAAATAAGAATTGTTTGCCCAGACAAAGAAGGAGAAGTTTCTGTTTCTTCACTGTGTGTGTTGTGATTTGTCGGTTTGTCTGTCATACCTCTACTTCATCATCAGTGAAGCCAATGATGCTCAGGGCTTTCCTCATTATCTTCCAGTCATTGCGGTCATTTATGGAGCTCACTTTGGGACAGTTACCCTAAAAAAAAATGTTTTTTTAAAACTCACGCACTCAATCAACACAACAGCGGAAACCAAGGGAGGAGGGGCTCCTCTTGACTTCCTCTATTAAACACCAGGGGAGCGAGGGGAAGCAACAGAGGGACATTCCTGCATACTTGTGAGAAAATTTATGATGCCATTTATGATGAATACTCATACAAAAGTCCAACATAAATGTATGTGGTAAAGGAGCTGAAAAATATTAATGGGCTTTTTGACATTTTTATTGATTATTAATGCCATTTCTGCATCAAAGTAAAAAATAACAAAGGTAATTGTGAAAAAAAAAAGTTTAAAATGAGAAAAAGTCATGATGTGAAATACAGTAAAATTTCGGGAAATAGTGAGAAATAAGTTGTAAATAGTCAAAACTCTGAGATAAATAGTGCCAATAATGACAGATATAAATCATTTAAGTTTTTAAGTTTTTCAAACTAAGAAATATTACAAACAGAAAATATTTTAAAGAATATTTTGAGATATAAACTCATAATAACAAGAAATTAAGATGTTGTCACAATGCAAGGTGTAAAGTCACATTGTGAAATGTAAAGTCGCAATAACAAAAAACACTGTAATGTAGTCACACTGCAAGATATAAAGTTGCAATAATGAGATCGTAATTGAGCAATATAAAACCACACTGTGAGATGTAATGTCACATTGTAAGATAGAAGATTAAAGTGTGAAAAAAAGTCACATGTAGGAGACACAAAGTTAAAATTACCTATTTATTTTTTTACTCTACGGTGGAAACAGGCTTTAATTATTAATGGAGAGACGACAGAAACTGATGTGCCTACTTGACCAGCATGAACCGGTGTGGCTGAAGCATGTGTGCTAACTTCTAAGCCCAGCTTTTTCTCAAATATACAGCTTTCTTCAGACCTTAGACATCTGCTGTAATCATAACAAAGAACGTGAGGTCTGTCTCTCACCTTCACCAGATACTGGTACTGTTGGGCATTCTTCTCCAGGCCCAGCCTCCTCAGCAGATCATCCTCTCCTCCCTCGATAAGCTGATAAAAGATGTGAAAGTTCCTCTCGCCGTGGCTCTGGTGCACGACACGTGATTTCTCCAACAGGTAGTTAATGATGTGACCTCCTACCGGAGCACCCTGCCAACGGGGACACCCAAAGGGAGAAGCAAAGGGGATAATACCGGGTTTCTGACACACATGCAAGCATGCATAATGTCACACACACACATAAACACGAAGGTGGATGCAGCCAAATCCCCAAACCAAGGAGAGCATTGTAAGGGTAAAAGTGTATCGACAGAAGGTGGATCACAGCAGTTGAGATGTGAGCTTCATTTGATGATCATTTAATGACAATAATATTGTTAAACACATGAGCAAACTCACCTTGAAGTCGAACTGAATGTCCATGTATTTCCCAAAGCGACTGGAATTGTCATTTCGTAAAGTTTTCGCATTTCCAAATGCCTGAGAGAAGAAAAACGAACAACGATGGGAAGGAAAATGGATGAATATAACAATTCAGGATGGCATACAGATAAAACAAGTTATATAATTTAGACAAATGCGATTATTCACACGCTCTAGTCTAGTAGATGCACACACACACTGCTAGTTTACAGGGAAGCACCACATCTGCAAAACATCTGGCAGAACGGCCATCTGTGCTGCTTCCGTTGGCCTTCCCATTTTTAGACATCCTTCATGTATGTGCCAGTCTTATCGCACAGATAATAACAGTGGCGCATAATTACTTGAGAGGTTTACTAGGACTACAAACTGCTCAGAATAAACTCAGCATCTTTTCCTTGGCATCGTTGAGAGTCATTCTTTCGCTAAGACAGCAGTCCAGGGCAACAATTACTCCCCGTACTGATCTCACCACTATACGCTGGCATCTGGAGATTAGTAAAATTGTATGTCGTGAAACATGTTGGGTTAGATGTGCTGTGTACATGTTTACCTCCAGCACAGGGTTGGACTGTAGAAGGCGATCTTTGACAGTCTGCACATGCTCACTGGCTGGGCAGGTGACGGCGTAGTACTGTAGAACCTTTTTGGAGGCTTCGGTCTTGCCAGCACCACTCTCACCTGAGATGAGGATGCACTGGTCCCGTCTCTCAGTCCGCATGGAGCGATACGCATTATCAGCCACGGCATAACTGTATAGGGAATATGTCAAGATCATAAATGCTTAGTTACCAATTACCAAATGACAGTTCACAAAGTAAAATTATTTTAATCAACACTGTAAGATTATGTAAATAATAATAATAATAAATGTTAAATTAAGTAGATAAAATGAAGTAGCTAAATAAAAATAAATATTTATATAGATTAAAATGTACATATTTGAAATCAGATTGTTTTCATTTTTAGCATTTTAATTTCATTAATTAAATTTACTTGAATTCACTTAATCAAAATACAATAATTATGACATAAGCAAAAATTTAAAAAACAAAAAAGCAATAAAGTAACATTATTTCTGATTGCATTTACATTTTACACAAATAATAATAAATAATAATACACACAAATAATGCACAATAATAATAATAATAATAATAATAATAATAGGTAGATAAATTAATTATCATTATAGGTTAAAAATTGTATATTAAAAAATAAGATTATGCATGAACTTAATGAATCAAAATAAAATAAATGCAGAAGTACAAATTAAAATACAATAATAAAAATTTTACAATAAAAATGTTCATTTATAGTACTTAAAACAGTTATTTTATTAAGAACTTATTCTATAAGCTATTTTTCATTATAGTTATTATTTCTATTACAATACATGTATTTAATAAAAATTCAGCCCTTAATATTTCTAATAATTTCTCTTGGTGTTATATTGTATGTGCAATGTTGTTTCAAATTCCTTTTCTGGTAGCATTAAAATAACACATTCTTTTGGTAAAGCCTAAAAGGACATTCAGGTGTCAGTTACATTGTTGTGTAAACAGTGGAAAAGCCCAGTGAGGATGAGTTGCCAATGATTTTCATGAGGAAAGAGCAGGGTGACAGCAGAGACGGTCTGTGTTTTTTCAGCCTGTATAAGAGCTGAGATAATGCTTTCATCACTTTTACACATCTGCTATCAGAGTGAGATGAACACTGCGGTACAGCGGGTGTACAGTCTGCTTTCGGTGAACTATAACTTTATACTTCCCTTTATCCCTCCAGACAACTGAAAGCTCCCACACACACACACAAACCTTACAGATAAGAGTCTATGAATGTTACGATTGTAGCAGAACTTCAGTTTATAGTCAACATTCCACAGATATTCTATGGGAATTTCCTCTTCACTAACAAGACAACAAGGAAGATAAACAAGATCCACCAAGTGCATAAAAATGTGGATTAAGCATTTTGCATATTTAATACCAATAAATATTTAATACAATTTGCATTTAATAATGAGTATTCAACAGAAATGTTCACTGAAATTTTGTAGTCCTAAAATGTGGAAGAGAATTTGCTTTTTCGAGCCACTGGTTCCCTCTGGAATTTCTCATGTTTTTTGGTGTTTTAATAATTAAATAACATTCACATTTTGTGAAATTTATATTTATTTAATATAATATTTACAAAATTAGGAATAAATAAGTTGAAAATGAATAAACATGAAAAACAAAAAGTTTGAACTTGATAAAAATGTAATTTATTTTAGATGGAAACTTCTGTAATTATATTATAATATTTTTAACATATAAAGAAATTGTTAGAAATACAAATAAAAAAAAGACTAAAATTCGAATAAGTCTAGATATAGCACAGCTTAGTTTGAAATCAAGGGTTTAAAGTTTGTCGAGCGTGCCGTGTGCAGTGACAGATGAACTCTCCCGTCCACATCCAATTCGCTCTAGCGGTCTTGGCACTGTTAAAATAAAAGTCCCGCTTCTGACACATCAGGCCGAAACAAAAAATGCTGATGATTAAAAATGCCAAACATTGGTCGATATCAGTCTTGGATGATATGTCAGTCGACCACTACATCAAATGTGAATTCTGAAGCTGCTCTATTTTTCTTTTTTTTAAACATAGGTTGCTAAATAAGGAAGGACTACAACTACCATAAGGATGTGAGTTTACATGCTTGACGAATCAGACCACTGCTGTAGTCCTTACTTAAAAACAACAACAAAAACATTAGCCATCCCATTGGACTAATCTGCGCAAATAGAAGAGAGCAGAATTGTGGGTAATAATGACTTGTTGCTGATTGCTTACATGTGAGGTGAGACTTCATAGAAATTGACGCCCCTGTATCGCTCCATGTGCTGTTTAGTGTAGATCTCCAGCTCTTTGTAGGGGTTCATTGACACCAGCACAGAGCCAATGTACGTCTGAGGGAGGAAGACAGACACACAGGAATCAGATCAATACTCTGGGATTTGAGCTTTAAGAGCGAATAGAACCGGTAGAACAGCTCTTACATAAATGAGGTTCTCCTTGAAGCGTTTGCGGAGGTTCTCGATGAATGCCACCTCGCTGGTGTGGTTCTCCAGCAGGACAAAGTCCTGCACGCCCACCCGGTCCCTGGCTGTCAGGGCGCTCTCCATCATGACTCGGATTCCGTCACTGCCCACAGCCTGACAGAGAAAGAGCAGAAGTGAGATACAGAATCACACTTACACCCTCCAGACGCAGAGCAGCGCGAGGTGATATATAAACACTGTAACACACACAGTATGTCAAGGCCCTCTGAGAGCCTTGAATAAACTCAACAACTCCATCATGACCCCTCCCATTTCATAACACGCACAGAGTTCAGCTCATTTGAAACCCAGCTAAAGAAAGCTTTTATTTTAAAGTATTTGTATGAAAGATCTGTCAATGAACCACACATACCATTGTGAACAAAATGTCACTATCTAAAACAGTGGATTTGTCGAGCACAATTTTAAGCTCAAGTTAATACTCTGAAACTTTAAAAGTGCCAGGAAGTACTATCCTGACTTCTTTTTGATAAGATACCACCATAATACCATGGTTTTTAGACACGTACCTTGTTAAAACTAGGAAAGCAAGATACACTACAATTTAAAAATCAGTAAAAAATATTTTTTGAAAGAAATCAATACTTTTATTCAGCAAGGACATAATAAATACATCAAAAATTACAGTAAAAAAGTGACAAATAAATTACCATTTAAAATATATTCAAATAGAAAGTTATTTAAAATTGTGAAAAAAGTTTCACACTATTAATCTTTACTATATACTTTATAATATAAATGCAACCTGGGTGAGAATAAGAGATTTTTTTTTTAAACATATTAAAAAAAAAAAAACTTACAGTCCCCAAGCTTTTGAAAAACAGTGGTACTATATTGGTTTTTAGAGATTTTTTAATTTATCAATACTAATTGATATAGGATATGTATTGGTTGATATTAGATATTTTATTGTACATGCCCATTTACTTCATTTTTATCTTTATATTTAATAACTCAAATAATTTAAAACTACCTTGTTGCATTTAAATCAACTGATTTTAGTTTTTGGTGTTTTATTTTTAATAGGCCTATATTTAAACAAAATAGCACAAGGTACAATAGCTACAAGGTACTATATAAACACTGTCGTATAAGAATACAATACTCATTAAGTGCCATATTCAAATATCATAGAATTACCATCTGATCCCATACAAATAAATTTGAATGGAATTGAAATTGAATTGAATCATTGCTTCATGGCACCACCACAGTACTATTTATAAGGGTACAATGCAGTTTTACATCATTAGCTTGATTACATCTCCTTTACAAATAAACAAGACGCTCTAAACCATCCATTTTCACACTTAAACCACATCTCTAACTACATCAGTGCAAACTCCACCCAAACTCAAATGTGCTGACAAAACATACTCACATCTATTACCAGATCTGTATTTTTAAAGAGATAACCCTTCTCCACAATGGAGGCCTGAGTTTTCCGCATTAGATTCCCAATGTTTGACAAATCCATGGTGTCGAAACAACCTTAGCTGTCGCTCCTTTTCCAGATATGCTCTTTAGCACTGCATAAACTAGTAGGACACAAAAATGTACTAAGTTCTAGTAGGTCACTTGTCATCTGATGTCTGTAATCCTGATCAAAGAGGGCTATGGGTGATGCTTCCTAGCTTAAAACAGAAAAGCACACTTACACCCACTCACTCACACACACAAACACACTCAGATGAACAAATGCGTGATTATGCATCGAAATACACACAGTCACATTGTGTGAATGCACCAGCTGCCAGGGCTGTTGTTTTGCTATTGACACAGCAGCGGCCATCCCCTAGAGGGACAGACAGAGAGAGACAGATACAGCACACCTGAGCAAGCACTTTAATTAAGTTGATGCACACCAACTACAACAGGCTAACGGTGGGAAAAAACAAGCCGAAAGAAAAACATAACAGGTAAGCGGGAACAGTCGACAAGTGTAGTGCCAGGAAGTGACTTCATTGCCAATCCGTCAGCCTGCTGAATGCACCAACAGAGCTGCACCAACTCTGAAAAGTCTAACATGGCCGGGTGTTGCTCTCTCTTGTTCTCTATTAGGCCGGTTTTGCATTTCCAGCTCAAATCTGGTTTCGTCCAATCTGCAGACACCCACATGGAATCTGGTTTTCACAAACCACATTTAAATACACTGTATTATGTTTCCATAAGATCAAAATTCAAGTGTTTTGGGTGTTTTAGTCATTTAGGATGAAACAGTTATTTTGACGTCATGAAAAATGCTAAACAAAATAAGCAGTGCCAAGGTGTTCATAGTGGATAGTGCATAGCTATGTGGTTGCTAGGGTGTTCTGGGTGATCGCTAAGTAGTTAATTACTGGCTTAAGTCAAAAAAAAATTCTTATGGGTGATCGCTAAGTAGTTAATTACTGGCTTAAGTCAAAAAAAATTTCTTATGTTCTTGTCCCTAGATATGCTAGAGTCTACCCCTTTTATCACTTGCCAGGAGAAAATCAACAAAAAATATTTATATAGGTTAAACTGAACATACACTACCATACAAAAGTTTGGGGGCAGCAAGATTTTTTTTTTTTAAAGAAATGAATGCTTTCATTCAGAAAGGACGCATTTAATTTACAGTAAAGTGACACTTTAAGTGACAGTAAAGATTTTATAATATTACAAAAGTTCTTTTATACTTTTTTATTCATCAAAGAATCTTGAAAAAAAAAAGTGGTTCCCACAATAATAAGTGGCACAAGTGTTATTTTAAATTATTGTAATATTAACAATATTACTGTTTTCACTGTATTTTTGATCAAATAAATGAGGCATTGGTGTGCGAAAGAGACTTCTCTCAAAAACCAAAAATGTAAAAAAAATCTTAATATTAACCCAAACCTTTTGAACGGTAGTGTATATATTCTATTCAAACAAATAAGAGTGTGGACACTCAGACCCACAGATCAGATTTGAAAATCAAATCAGAAGTGTGAAGTGAGCATATAAAACATTAGAAATTAGATATTGGTTTAATTTTTATTGTGTGTTTGACTGTTACAACAAAAAAATATTTGTTGTTTGTCTCAATAAATTGGGTTAATTTAAAAATACAGTGGTTAAATTTATGCTTTTTTTTCCTATCGCTCTTTGTTTTAAAAAAGGTTATAAAAAATGTCAATAATTATCGATACCAAACGATATGAAACATTATACCGTTGATACATTTTTTAGCTACATCGCCCAGCCCTAAGAACATACTGCACTCTTTTCTTAATCACATCTACATGTTTGTCTCTCTTATTTTGCAAGCATATTCTTCTGCAGTGACACAGAACTGACAGTTAATAATCGGTCGTGGAGTCATAATCAAAACTAAACACGCTGGCTAGACAGACCATGACATCATTTGTTGGCCAGCTCAAGCATAATATGTCCTGCCCTTCGACAGATCATTTCCACTGCAGCTACTGTACTTACGCCAAGACAGTTGTATGATACAGATCTGCGACACTTGTATAATACAGACAGCTTTTATTTTGATTAAATACTTGCTATTTGAGGAAATAATTATTTTCATGTTATAGCCGACAACTGACAGAACAGTTATAACAGTTAGAATTCTATACTATTATTTATGAATAACTCAAAACTAAATTAAAAACTAAAATCTAACGTTTTAAATGCTACAAGGAAATTCAAACTTCACATTATACTACACAGCTAGAAAAATGGATATATTTATTTTGAAATATGTTAAAGATTACATTTAACAGTGTTATTAAATTATTAGTGTTTTTACAAATGAACTTTAAGTGAGCGTTAGATTACTGCAGAGGTAATCTAAATGTAAAAATATAGAAAAAAAGCTTGTGTAATAAAATATTGAAATGAATTTAACTGGATACCCAGGTCATACAAGGGTCTTTGGATATAGAGTTGTCTGAGGGTTCTTTGTGCACGTTAGCAAATATTATCTGTGCATCACCTAGATGTAAAAATCCTATAGCCGCCAAAAGCCAATATAAACAAATCTAACCATTCATTTAGAACAAAAAATATGCCACAACCAGAAAGCAGACCCTTGCTACTTTCTCCAGAAACAGGCTCCATTATGGCATTGTTCTTTATAGATTTGCTTTCCTGTTCTTTCTTTCCCACCTCTGGTCCCTGGTTCCTCATGCATGCAGGTCTATAAGGCAAGCTACATGCCTTTCCCATGTTCTCACTTTTTCCAAATCCTGCTCTGAAAACAACAGACTGAAAAGCTCGAGACACGACCGTGGGCAAATTATTCACTCTCCATTTCACTCTAATCTCTTCTGAAAAATAAAGATCAAAGAGGGAGCGGTTTGTTCTTCTTTGTGAACAATAATTGCCTTTTGCATGACCTTCCAACAGCCTATTGATTCGCTTGGTTCTTGTGAGCAGAGCTGTTTCAGGGAGATCTGCCGAGTCAAGCTGCCTTCGTCAGCACTTCTCACATTGCAAGACAACATTAGCAGTCTTTGGAAACAGACGGATAGGGACCAGAGCTTTGATTACCAAAATTGATTATTTGAAAGAGTGAATGTGCAAATCAAACACTCCAGTAATTCATTTCTCTAAGGTCAAGTCAGTGATTCTGTCCAGTTAACAACTCCTGATAAAACCGGAGGATGTTGAGGAAGAGAAGAATGTATTGTGCATTTTTTCATAATTAATGAAGGCAGTGGATAAAGGGCACATTCCTAGATATCTAGAGCAAAGTCATGTGCTCCTACCCTTCTCACCGGGAAGAGTGGAGAATGGTGAAGAAGAAAAGCACATCTTGTCTGCTTGCTTATGATTTTAAGTTTTTGAGGTTACCAGTTTCCATCCTGATTGAGTCATCTGGCTCACTTGTTACCTCTCTCTTCTTTTCTCAGTAAAGAACAAGGGGTGGAGACACCCAGACTGTTGTGTAGAGGCACAGCTACATTAAAAAACGATGATAGATGCATAAAGATGTTCTTTAAGTATGGTCACTATTACTATCCCAACAGATTAAATAAGGGTGCTTTCACACTTGGTTCGATTGCCTGGTCCAAACCCGAGTTTGATTGCTCCTCCCTCCCACTGCCCCACGCTGGTTTGTGTTCATACGGTGTTTT